CCCACCCAATCCCCCACCCCCGCCTTCCCACTGAGATCCCGCAGTCTGCTCCATGCTTCTATGTCTCTGGATCTATTTTGTTCCTCAATCTATTTTATTAGATTCTACACATGAGTGAGATCATGTAAAATGGAATCAGGAAGAATCAGAAAACTTGAATAGGTTAATAACAACTGATGAAATTGAAGCAGTAATAAAAAAACTCGCAGCAAACAAAAACCCTGGTCTGGATGACTTCACAGGGGAGCTTTCTAATTCTTTAAGTTGTAGAGTTAGACAGTTTACTAAAAATTTTTCTTGCTTTTTGAGGTAGGCCTGTAGCGCTATGAACTTCCCTCTTAGGACTGCTTTCGCTGTGTCCCATTGATTTTGGGTGGTTGTGTGTTCATTTTATTTGTTCCCAGGAAGTTTTTGATTTCTTTCTTGATCTTATTGGTAACCCACTCATTGTTTAATAACATGTTATTTAGCCTCCATGTGTTTGAATGTTTTTGAGTGTTTTTACTGTAGTTGATTTCTAATGTCATGCCCTTGTGATCTGAGATGCTTGATATGATTTCAATATTCTTGAACTTGTAGATACTTGTTTTGTGTCCTAACATGTGGTCTATCTTTGAGAATGACCCATGTGCACCTGAGAGGAATGTATATTCTGCAGCGTTGGGGTAAAATGTTCTGTAAATATCAATTAAATCGTCTGATTTAGTGTGCCCTTTAGTCACCCTTTCTGTGTTGACTTTTTGTCTGGAAGATCTATCCAGTGAAGTCAGTGGGGTGTTAAAGTCCATGACTATGACTGTATTGCTGTTGATCTCTCCCTTAAAATCCTTGAAGTTATTATTGATAGGTCCTGACTTATTGCCATTTTAATTCTTTATGCCTATGTTTCTCTGTTTCTTATTATTATTACAGCAGTCCCTTTAACATTTCCTGAAATTGGTGGTGATAAACTCCTTTAGCCTTTTTTGGTCTGGAAAGCTCTTTATTTCACCATCTATTTTGAATGATAGCTTTGCTGGATATAGTAGTCTTGGTTTCAGATCCTTGTTTTGCACTACTTTAAATACTTCATGCCATTCCCATCTGGCCCGTAGAGTTTGATGAGAAATCATCTGACGGCCTTATGGGAGCTCCTTTGTAGGTATCAGATTGCTTTTCTCTTGCTGCCTTTAATATTCTCTCTGTCTAGAGTTTTTTGGCATTTTAATTATGATGTGTCTGGGCATGGCCCTCTTTGGATTCTTCTTGCTTGGGACTCTCTGTGCCTTCTGAACTTGTGTGACTTTTTCCTTCACCAGGTTAGGGAAGTTTTCTGCCATTATTTCTTCAAACAGGTTCTCTAACCCTTGCTTACTTTTGACCTCTTCTGGCACTCATATGATATGAATATTGTTATGTTTCATGCTGTCCCACAGCTCCCTTAGACTATCCTCCTTTTTTTAAATTGTTTTTTCTTTTTGGATCTCTGGTTGAGTGATTTTTTTTTCTACCCTGTGTTCTAATTCGCTGATCCGACCCTCAGCTTCCTCTAATCTGCTGTTTATTCCTTCCAATGTATTATTTCTGCTATGTTGTTCTTAATTTCCTTCATAGTTTCCATATCTTTTTCCATGCTGTTGAGGATCCTTATAATCAGCATTCTGAACTCTATATCTGATAGATTGCTTATCTCCATTTCATTTAGCTCTTTTTCTGGAGACTTCTCTTGTTCTTTCATTTGAGGCTTGTGTTTTTGTCTCCCCATTTTGGCTGCCTGTTGGGGTTTGTTTCTATGTATTAGGTAGATCTGCTAGGACTCTCAGTCTTTTTGGAGGCTCTCTGGTGCAGGTCAGTGTCCAACACAGTTTATAACTGGCCCTGAGTACCGTGTTTGGAGCTATCAATAACCCTCGGCTTGAGGTCTCCTCTGCTGGGGCTGGGTGCGTTTGCCAGGACCAAGATGCACACCAAAGTCTGCTTTTCCAAGGCCCGGGTCCAGAAGCAGATCAGGAAGACTCAAAGCACTCTGAGGTCTGCCTCTGCCTGCAGGCTGATTAATCTGATTCTCTTAATGAGCCTCAGTCTGTAGAAACTCCTCTGGGTAGAGCGAGAGGTTTTACAGCAGGGTGGGGTAATTGCTTCCCCTTCAGGCAAAAGCTGCTTGGAAGGTAAATGTCTACTTGAGAAAGAGGTCCTCTACAGTATCGGGGAATGACTCGGCACAGGAATCCAGATGGGTGCCTTCTGATCTCTATCTCCAGAGCCTACAACCCTAGATTATCTTCATACAGCTCCAGACTACTCTGCCCTCCCTCTGCTGGAGCCCAAGGTGAGTGGCTGCACATGAAACTTTGTGCATTGGCTCTTTAAGAGGGTACCTGCATTTCCAGCTATCTCTTCCTGGCAGACAGAAACCCAACAGCTTTTCACAGCCAGATGTTATGTGGGCGCCTTTCTCAGTCCTTGTGCTCTTGGCTGGGCAGCCCAGCCTGGGGTTTAGGCCCGAGTCCTCAGTGGGAACCCCCCACAGCTGAGATATCCCCCGGGACCTTCAGCTGTTGCCTGTGGGAGCCCGGGCAGCCCTCTTGTGACTCCGCCCTTCCCACCAGTCTCTGGGCTGTCTCCCCTTTTCCTCTTTGGTTATGAGGGTGCTCCCCAGCTCACTTCAGTTGCAGCTGATTACCCAGGATGGTTTTTTGATATTTTAGTTGTAATTCCAGTTTGGTCTGGGGAGAGTGTCAGTGTACCTTCCACTCAGTCCACTGCCATCTTTAATCACTCTGTGCTCTTTATATGAATAAAACCTTAAAACGGTGCCAGCCTGGGATCCTCTGCCAAAAGTGCCAGGAGTTCATCCCAGGCAGCGTGGCTCAGTCAGCTGGGCATTGTCCATGCACTGAAATGTTGCTGGTTAGATTCATGATCAGGACACATGCCTGGGTTTCAGGCTTGATCCCCGGTCAGGGTGCATATGGGAGGCAGGCAGTCGGTGTTTTGCCTTCAGGTGAATGTTTCTCTCCCTCTCCCTTCTTCTCTAAAAAAATCAGTTAAAAAATCTTTTTTTAAAAATGCACCAGAAGTTCCATTCCACGAGGGAGATTTGCAGCTGCTTGGCAGCTGACTCCTGCCTGCTTTTCCCTGCCTCTCCATAGAACTAGGTGAGTCTTAATGAATGGTCCTTACCATTTATCTTCCAACAGTAATGTTAATTCTCCAATATTATAGGTGACCACCTCATTTGCTCTTCTCTCCACCCCTCTTCCTTAGAAGAGATAATCTGGAGAGTCCAGTGACCACCAAAAAGCATATTTCAGACTTCAGTTTACTTGCTGAACTAAAGCATTTCTTAAAATTGGGGGGTGAGGGGAGCTCTAATGGTCTGTGAGGCTGTAGCACCCACTTGGAGAAAGACAGAAGACTGGAGAGAGAAGTCAGTCATGTGAAGAGACTCAGACCACTTGGCGTTACCAATCTAGGGGTTATCTACACTAGTTATCAGGTAGGAGAGAGCGGTGTGTGGACACGTGCACACGGAGGTTATTCTGTAAGCATGGGGGCCTGGGAGGACAGGTAAGTCTTGAAAGGAAGCTCCCTGTAGTTCTGAATCACTACAATGCTTTCACCACAGGTGTGTTTTCAGTTGTTATCTTGAGGATTTGGACCCCGTAGAAAGTTTAATTAATTAATCTCCCTTAAGGTTCACTGAAAATGAGGTACCTGAATTGGCCAGAGAATGATATTCATGTCCCCGTGGACACCCTGCAGAGAGTACATTGATTCGCTGCCGCCAGTGGTTATGGACAGCACTGTTTTCTTATTCTGTAAAAGAAAAGTCATCACCTGAGCATCTCCTTGGTGACAGGAAGTTAATGAAACAGCCCCAGGGAAAGAACACACATCCACCCATCTGTTGTTGATGTTACTTCCTACGCTGGCTCCTCAGAGGCAAGGAGTATGACTCTGCAGAAGTACCAGCCTGGAAGATGGGGCCACAGGCAGGTGCGGAGGGATAAGCCAAGGATGCCATACTCCTGGGTGTGGCAAATCCAGGGAAGGTTGTCACGGAAATGCAAGATCAGTGTTGACTGCTAGTGCCAAATATGAGTTATCTGTTTATTGTTTTATTATGTCTCACCATAATACCTAGATACCTAGGCAAGTATCTAGGCATGTAATCTAGAAGGTCTCAAAATGTTTCCTGCATAGTATCTGTGTCTCTGAAAAACAAAGACAGACTATTTCTTTTTATTATGGAAAATTTCAATATAAAGAAAGTAGTACAGTTGACCCTTGAACAATGCAAGGGTGAGGTGGCACCACCCTCAAAGTAGTCAAAAATCCATATATTACTTTTGTCTGCCTAAAAACTTAACTACTCATAGCCTACTGTTGACCGGAAGCCTTACCAATAACGTAAACAGTTGATTAACACATATTTTGTATGTTATATGTACTATATACTGTATTCTTAGAATAAAGTAAGCTAGACAAAAGAAGATGTTAATTTAGAAAACATAAGGAAGAGGAAATACATTTACCGTATTTATTTTTTTAAAAATCCACGTATAAGTGGACCCGTACAGTTCAAACCTGTGTTGTCCAAAGGTCAACTGTATAATGAAGCATCTACCACCCAGCTTCAACTCTCAGTAGTTTGCCATTCTAGTTTTATCTAATCCCCTTACCCCTTACCTGTATTTTAAAACAAATCCTAATCATGTCAAAATATCTGTTAAAACATAATTATGCATCTCTTCCAAAAGGATCTGAAGCCTGACCTTAGTATCTAATTGTGCTCAAAACTCTGCCTCAGGACTGAATCTCCCCAGCACCCAGCTGTTAGAAAAAGCAGAACCATCCACCTACCCGGAAAGGTCCCTTGTCATACATGGCAGCGTACGTGTAGGCAAACTCCCCAATGAGCACTCGTTCAAACCAGCCTTTCAGGATGGCAGGGACTCCAAACCACTGCAGTGGGAACTGGGGGACAAAGGACAAAGAGGTCAGATCGGGGACCCAAGGCTCAGGGTCCGCACTGAGGGCGAGCCTTTCTTCAAGCCCGTGTCATTCCTTCTGGAGGAGACAGCACATTGAAAGACAAGCGTCATCTTTTGTCAGTCAACCTGACGCTCCTGTTTCTACCTAAAGGTACAAATACTGGGTTGGTCTGAAGAAGGCCACATGCGTATAAGGTTTGTTTCTATGAAATCACGTTTGACAATGAAGTTTTAGACAGCAAGCCTGCAAACAAATATGTGATGCCTAAATGACTCTTTTGTCAAGTGCTTGCTTTAAAATAGGTGTAGTATCAAAAATATGAGGCATGTACCTTGTGCTCACAGATGTAAAATCGTACCAGTTAGAATAAACATAGCCACTCACATTTGCAAACAAAATGATCAGTGTGACTAAGGTTTATCAGGGGATTCCCATGAGAGAGTCTTGTGCCTTTTGTCCTCATAAAAGCAGAGCAAGCACTGTACCGGTATTTCTCTCCTTGACTCATGATTCAAAGGCAGTGACAACTGGAACAAGCCCAGAAGAAAACAACTAGGACACAGAAGGAATTTGTAGGAACCAGTCCCTCTCTCTTTGAAGGGTTGCTGACCTACAGGAAAGGAAGGGGCTGAGGAAGCAGGGTTTTAGAACAGAAAGAACGCAGGATTGAAAGTGAGTGGTGTTCTCACCCTGAATCCGTCACTAACTCGATGCCTGACCTTTGCTGCACGAGCCCCAGACTTTCTCTAGTAGCTTCTCCCGTTCTCACATTTATGACTCTCCAATTGAGAGGGACCAGATCTGCAGCTGTTAGGAAGGATGGGTAGGGTGTGCAGGCAACTAGATTTGCTTCCCTGTGGATGTTCTGCGGTTAGGGTTGAAAATAGACTTGTTTGGTTGGCTTGCAGGGTATTAAGAGCTTACTCTCCCTCAAGTTATTTTCGGAGAAGTGAGTAAACTGAGCAGGGGACGAGCCCATAGGGCACGTTGGTATGAATTAAAGCACTCCTTCCCAGGACACTTTATTTCCATGTTGACAAACTGTCACACATAGTACACTGATTTTTCTAGAATTACACTTTTCCTGTCACCTGTTGGGAAAGTGTTATAATAAATATACAAATCTGCATTGCCCTTTAGTATGTTGCTATTTTGCAGTGACAACCTGCACAGTTGTACTGACAGTAAAGAAAATGTATGCATCAGATTGTAGCTAAATTAAAAGACCACTGACTTCTTTTCCAATTCTAAAATATGGTGATTCTAAGATGCGGAATTGAAAGCTGCTACTGCTGCTGCCTTGGCTGCATTAGGATAAGATGCAGTAGACAACCTGGACCAAGAAGGCATCCTTTGTGGCTAATGGTGTGTGGCTTTGACTCGTAACAACAGGCCTGGGGTAGAACAAGACTTCAGAGGTTGGATTCTTTGCCGATGATGGAATACTTGCAAAAACCACAGCCAGTATCACCCTTACGACATTTCCAATGTCATATAAGTTCCACGTTCAAGATCAAGAAGCTAATTGGAATTGGTAGAAGTAAAGTCATTGAGTACCGTCTGGCATTCTCAAAAAAAGATGACTGACAAGGAACCTAGGCATTGCCAGTACTGACTGCTAAACGGCGAGGCAGCTTCCAGAAGAAAGCTACGGTTTGCTGCTGAAACACAGTAAGCAGGACAGTGCATATCAGCTGGGAAGCTCCACAACGGCAGAGAAGTCAATCTCATGAATCGCTCCACAAACTGATCAGGGTGCTTACAGAGAGGGAAAGAACTGCAGACTTCACTGAGAGATTCCATGAATCACTCACTGATTCACTGCAGCATCATTTACAATAGCCAACATATGAAAGGAACTTACATATCCACTAACAGACAAACAGGTAAAGAAGATGTGGTACATAAACCACAATGGAATATTACTCAGCCATGAAAAGAATGAAATCTTACCATTTGTGACAACATGGATGGGACCCGGAGGGTATTTGCTAAGTGAAATAAGTCAGACAGAGAAAGACAACTACCATACGATTTCACTTTTATGTGGAATCTAAAGAACAAATAAATGAAAAACTAAAATAGAAACATACTCATAATTACAGAGAACAGACTGATTGTTGCCAGAGGGGAAGGGGCTTAGGAGCTGGCTATAAATGGTGAAGGGATTAACAAGTACCTATTGGCAGTTACAAAATAGTCACGGGGATGTAAAGTACAGCGTAGAGAATATAGTCAATGATGTTGTAATAACTGTGTATGGTCCCAGGTGGGTACAGGACTTACGGGGGGAATCACTTCATAAGTTATATAAATATGCCTAACCACTATGCTGTGCACCTGAAACTAATATAATATTGAACATCAACTATAATTGAAAAATTAAAATAAAAAAAACACTAATTGAAAAAAAGATTAAGACCGATGCCATCTTTGAAGTCGCATTTATATTTTCAAGGTAATACGGCCCCAGTCACAGTACCTATAAATCTGTGCAATGCTGCACGTTTGAAGGAATCACCTTTCTTTACAGAGAATGTGGTAAAGGGGGTAAGTGAGTTTTCTAAGATCACGTGGCTAATTAGGTGGCAAGTCTAGGACAATAAGAATTCAAGTATCCTGCCCTGCCTGGTGTGGCTCAGTTGGTCGGAGCGTCATCCCATGCACTGAAGGGCTGGGGCTTCGATCCCTGGTCAGGGCACACACCCAGGTTGCAGGTTCAATCCCCAGTTGGGGTACGTACAGGAGGCAACCGATCCATGTCCCTCACATTGATGTTTCTCTCTCTCCAGCCCCCCTTTCCCTTCCTCTCTCAACTCTAAAAACACATCCTCAGGTGAAGATTAAAAAGAAGAAGAATTTAAGTGTCCTGACACCCCTTCTGATGTCCTACCACACCTGAAAAATCACAAGGTCTGCAGCTTCCAGCTTCTTTTGTTCAGCCACAATATCTGGGCTCAGGCGGCCTTCTTTATAAGCTAGAACAGACTCGGCCGGATACTGAAAGTTCTCAGGGTCCTTCAGTTTACCTGCAGGGATGAAAGAGAGGGGCTGAGGCCATGGGGCCAAGGTGGGACCAGAGAGCCCACAGGTGAAAAGTTCCACAAAGACCTAATTAAAGGGGGGAGCTGTTCCTGCCTGTGATGTCCTTCCTGGAGATGACAGGATTGAAGTTCATGGCATACAGGTCCGACACAGTGACCTCCCATCCTTTCCTCTTCAAAGCCTCTACAGCAGCCTCCTTCATGGCATAGTTGAAGGACGTCTTCTCGGCATGGGCCAGTACAATCAGTGCTTTTCTGGCTGTTTAGACACATGCAAAGCATATGGGGGGGAAAATCAGTTTTTGTTTTAAACTATCCCACTAACACACCACATATAGCCATAACTTATTAGCAGATTAAAGACCTAAATTTTTGTAAAATAAAACTATTAGAATAGTATAGGAGGAAAGGGAGAATTTGTATCACCTCAGGATAGAGAATACTTTTTAAGAAAGACTGAAGATTCAGAAACCATGAAGGAAAAGCTTGACAGCTAGAGTCACATAAAAACAAAAAACAAACGGTGTACTGAAAGGCAGTAAACAGAGTCAAAAGACAAACAACTAGGAACTAGGAGGAGGAATCCTCAATGCTTATCACAGTTCAAATCTGAAAATGCCTACACATAATTAGAAGACAAGTGGTGCAGTGGAAAAGTCAAGCAGATGAACACGCTCTTCACATAGGAGGAAATGCAAATGGCAATACATAAATGAGAAGATGCCCTGCCTGGCCTGTCAGGAAAAGCAAATTAAAATGAGGCATTATTTACCTGTCGGATTGGCAAAACAATTTAGGACAAGCAACATCGAAGGCTATCGAGATTGCACGAGAACTTGGCACATTGCCGGTGAACTGCCTCCGCCTTTAGGGAAATGAATCAGGCTGAATCTCTTAAATTTTAAAAGCACATAGATCTCTCTTTTTTTTAAAATATATATCTTTATTGACTTCAGGGAGAGAGGGAGAGAGAGAGAGAAACATCAGTGATGAGAGAGTCATTGATCGGCCGCCTCCTGCATGCCCTGGACCAGTGATGGAGCCCCCAACCCGGGCATGTGCCCTGACCAGGAATTGAACCTCGATCTCCTGGATCCTAGGTTGAGGCTCAACTGCTGAGCCACGCCCGGCCAGGCAAAGCACATACATCTTTGATATAACTGTCTAACTTCAGAGAATCTGTTCTACAGGCTGAAAGTATTGGGACACAGGAGCAAGGATGGGTTTTGTACTGTTTTTTCCATTGACAAAAATTAGAAATAATGCAATTGTCTCTTTTAGGGGAGCATTTAAATAAATTATGGTACATACATACATACTACAGAATATTATGCTATTAACAAGAATGAGTTAACTATACAGTGACCTCGAAAGATATCCATGATATATTAACTGACAAAATGAAGTGAATGTGAATCCATTTTTATGAAAAACAAAGAAAGAAGCTACATATAGGTCTTCCCCCAAAACGTATACACACTTTTAACAGCTGATAGCTGTTAAGTGAAATGTATTTCAATAAATACTGCCTTTATAATTATTTCAAAGTGTGTGTCTACATTTTTGGGGGACACTGTATGTAGGTAGATTTGCAGTAAATTGGAAAAATGATGTGGAATGACTGTATGAAACTACTAATAGTTTCCTTAGATAACTAAGAAATGGCAAAGGGGGAGAGGCAGAGGGGAAAGACGAACTTTTTCTTGGCCACCTCTGTACTGATGAAGCTGTTAGAATAAGCCTGCTTCCCTTTTGCAGTAACAGCAATGAATGGCTGCTTGTGTATGTGCTAGGCACTGCTCTTAAGTGCTTTGCACTTTTTCAGTTATCACGGTGGCCCTATGAGGTAGATACTGTTAGTATCCCCATATTATGGATGAGAAAACTGAGGCACAGAAAAGTTAAGCAAGTTGCTACCCGATTTTACATAGTAAGTGGGGAAGCTGGAATGATCTAAAGTGCAGACATAAGTAAACCCATGCTATCATGTGGGGGATGTGGGGAGGAGCACCAGGGACCGGCAGCTCACCACCAGCGTTTCTCCTAAGCACGGTGCCCGTTTCATACCTTGCTGATGCTTAACAGGGGTGACTGTGGGTGGAGCTGGGAGAGACCGAACTGGCAACATTTCTTGTTTGAAGAAAACTAGAAAGGAGCGCTTAAGCCTTCAGTTCTCTGCCTGCTTTTATTATGAACCACACCTGGCATGGGCAGCTCCTGTTAGGTTAAATTCAGTCACGTGTACGCGTCAGGCCCCTGAACACACCAAAAAGAGGGTCTCCAAGCTTGCTCCTGGCATATCTGACTTGGTGGAATATAAGTTTGATGAGGAGTTAAATGCTGTGACTTATCTGCTTCAGAAGGCCTGGGAAAATGGAAAGGAATTTCTGAAGCTGCCTAAACAAATTTCCACCGCCGACTCGACTCATGGGCTGAACACTACGGGGAGAAGGGTGAGTGCGTTAAGCTCTGTCCTGCATTTTCTTTGTCATTTACCTTGGCTCAGTCATATCAGTGTTTACTGAACACTGCTTTGCTGATTTTTACTCTCTCGGCTTATCTGCTGTCAATATATACATTTACTTCTTACCAATATTAACAAGCATTTCCTAGGTAGTAAAACATAAAGTTGCGTCCCAGAAAATACGGAAGTCAGGATACCTATGCCTTGCTTTTAAGATGAGACACTAGCCCAGCCGGGCCTGGCTCAGCGGTTGAGCATAGACCTAGGATCCAGGAGATCGAGGTTCGATTCCTGATCAGGGCCCATGCCCGGGTTGCAGGCTCCATCCCCGGTCGCGGGCGTGCAGGAGGCAGCTGATCAATGACTCTCTCATCATTGATGTTTCTCTCTCCCTCTCCCTTCCTCTCTGAAATCAATAAACATAAGTTTAAAAAAAAAAAAAAAAGACACACACAGGAAGAACTTATCTGCAAGAAATATAACTGCCCTGGCAGGGTAGCTCATTTAGAGCATTCCCCGATAGCATGTGCCAAGATTGTGGGTTTGATCCCAGGTCAGGGCACGTACAAGCATCAAGCAGTGAATGTCAAGCAATGAACGCATCAAGAAGTGGAACAACAAATCAGTGTTTCCCTCCCCTCTTTCCTTTCACTCTCTTTCTAAAGTCAATAAGTTAAAAAAGGGGGGGGG